CCCCCCCCCCCACCCCACCACCCCACCACCCCACCACCCCACCACCCCACCACCCCACCACCCCACCACCCCACCACCCCACCACCCCACCTTCCAAGGCCTCCAAACCGGGTGAATTGAAAACGCATTCCCCCAGCGAACTGAATATGAATTGAAAACGCAAAAGAAAATAATTTCGATATTGCATTCCTAGAGGGAATTCTGTGTCATAACACTAGAGATGCTTTTGGAACATCTGTGAAGAAGTGCGTGTGCTCTGAGTTTACTCTCAGACCTTGGCCGCCGACCCTCGCTTCGCTCGTGTCGTCGTACTTAGGTTCGAGCAGAGTGGCTATGCCCTTGAGTGTTTGCTTTGCTGAAGCACCGAAGTCCTGAGAATCATTAGGACGTCTGCATGTGTTCCTCCTTTGTTTAGCAAAGTAGAGATGGAATTCACAAGAGTACTGCTGCGCTAACTCTGCAAGAGACTTGCCAAACACCTCGATATTTGCGCGGCTTTGCGCCCTCTGCGGCCGCGGCGTCTGATGTTGAGCACGGGCATACCTTCGATGAAGGCAGAGGAGCCCAGTAGGCCCTTCCTGAGACTTGGACGTCATGCCTATTGAAGCCACGCAGCATGCAGGCAGCCATAAGTTCTGCCCTAGACGCACACAACCTGAAAATTAAGAGCATGCCGTACAACGTCTGTGGGCGCTTGGACTTCGGGCCATGAAAGGCACCGTCGTGGACCACCTTATGGCTTTTCTCTGTCAAAACACTTTTCCCAAACTCTGACGGGCCAGCCACTGGGTGGTGGTTGTAAATGATCTCAGTTCCTGATTGTCTAGAAACCCCAGCAATGCAAATGTTGGCTTTCTTTTTTTTGTTTTTGCGGCGTGCTTTAACGAATGTTTAAACGAAATTTTCAGTTTTAAGAGTTTTGTTTTATTATTGGTATGTTACTTGTCGAACGAGCAGCGGTTCAAGACTACGGGGCCATAGAGACTTGGCGTCTGACTCTTGCTGTGGTTTTGTCAGTTCGTTCTTGGTACAGTTTTCTTTGTTAGTTTTGGTTGTCAATTTCGACCATGGTACGTGTGTGTGTCATTTGTTTTGTTAGCATTGCTCACTGCTATTTCTGCATGTCTTTTTCGACTGTAGGGCATGGCGTGAGCTCGTGCCACTTGTGAGGCCGGGAGGGGGAGTGGCGAAGCGTAAGCGACTGCAAAGGGTTTACCGCAAGGCGTTTTGAAGGTTTCAGTAGCTGCAGGAGCGTTGTGCAAGTGAGACCACTGACAGGGGTAGTCGTAGGGTCTTCTAGCCCTGGCCCTCGTCTCCGCGTTCAGGTGACTTCTGACGTCATCTGGTTGATCGCGCGGAGCTCTGTGTGATTGCAAGGGTTTTGGTAGGAGTGGCAGACCCTCACCTTTGCTCCCGGTATTCCCCGCACGTATTTGGAGTGGTAGGAGTGAGTGCCGCAGGAATGTTAGTGAAGTTGTGATAACAAGAAAATAAGAAAAATAGGAATAACAAGAACAATAAGAATAATAAGATTAATAATGATAATAGTCATAATCGTACATATATATATATATATACGTGTGTAAAAAACCATATATTTATATATTATAGGGATATGCTACTCTGCTACGGTGTCGCATCCGTTAGGGCGACAGAGCTTGGCAGAGCGAAGTCCAATGCAACTCCAGGCCGGAGCTCAGAGTCTGAAAGACTTCGGCAAGGTCCAGGCCACTCCCAAGGCGCGGTGCAGTCCTCCTCGTTTCTTGTGCCCTTGTGTTGCGCTTTGTGCTGTTGCGACCTATGGCTTGCGCTCAGCTGACCCAGCTCAAGACTGCAGTCAGCCCACGATCATCACGATGCGATCGTCCATTGCCATGGTCGTTGCTCTTGGCCTCGTCATTTTGACGAGGCCAGAAATTCCAGAGATCCCGGGCTCCCTGCGGAAGCCCCGGGCTTTGAAGGAGACCTCGGACGACAATGTGGACAAAAATGACACCAGCGGTGGTACGGAAGCCTGGCGACTCCATCCCATGCCTAACCTGCTCCAAGGGCCAAGCTGCCCAGGAGAGTTGCGAAGAGTGCCGGGCCAGATGGTCTTGGCAATCCTGTTAAGCTTGGGCACTTATGCGGGCCTGGCAGCCACATGTTGGCTCGCAGCATACTTGTGGTTTGCTGCAGATCAAGCCCGATGGGCACTGGCAATGAAGTGGCTCCTGCCCATCTTCGTCGCAGTGCCGGTGGGCCTGCTCGTCTCAATGCAAGCGGCTCCGCAGATTCAAGGGAAGCTTGAAATCTCGATCCCGCGCGAGTGGAAGCAAGTGCCACATTGCAGGCTGCACTGGCTTGCCGCTCCAGAAGATGTACTGCCCAAAGGCTGCAATTCCAACTTGGGCCAGGAAACGAGCCGGCAACGGCTGGAATATTACTTCGTCCTGATTATTCTCGTCACCTTTTCTGCCGGTCTCATGGGCCTGATGCTGACACTGGCCGGCCGAGGCATCAGGGCCATATCTCGCTGTTTCAGCGAGTCTGCGAGTGGGCCGAGCCAATCAGCCAACGTAGCCATGTACGATCCATTGACCAGTGCCGAGGAAGCTTCAACGCAGCAGATAGGGAGTTTGTTGGCGACCATATACGTGTTTAGCTTTAATGCTCTCTGTGCTGCACTGGCGGTTTGGGCGATGGCCACGGAGCACCTGACTCTGCAAAACGGCCTTTGTTGGGAGCTATGGCTGGGTTGGTTCACGGCCATGCTCGCCATGGCCTTGATACAGGGCATCTACTTTGCAGCACGTCTTCCATCAAATGTTCAAGTTCCCAACATGGGCATCTGCATTGTGACATCCGTCCTCCCGATTCTCAGTGAGCCGTTGGATACCTTCAAGGACTGGCTGTTTGTCGGTCTTGCCTTGTCAACCAGGACCCGCTTTGCCTTTTCGTGGCTCGTTCATGTGTTGTGAACTCCGGAGGGCATTGGTAAGTAGGGTAAGTAGGGTAAGTAGGAGGTTCAAAGCATTGCGAGAAAGAGCGAGAAAGAGCGAGAAAGGAGCACGTGTCACAGGACCTTCCCGGGAGCCCTGATGGCTTTGGTGGGCGTTGGCATCCTCGGCATCTCGGGCGCCTACATGCTTCAGTTTCATTCGGAAGAGCTCGAAGCAGGCCTACTGCCGGTTCGCGCCGCGAATCTCAGAGCCTGGCTTGGGCGCCCTGAGGAGTCCTTCCTATCAAAGCAAACCTCCCCGGCCAAGCTGGCCATTGCGCTCACCGAAGACCTGCCGCAGGCAGCCTTGCAGACTTTCTTCATCTTCTTGTACGGAGGCGTTCAGACCAAGAATCTATATGCAACATGAACACACAGACCACACAATCATTACTTTTGGGTGAGCACGGGGAGGGCAGGACTTGCGCCCGGGAACCATCGTAGCGGTGCCCTGTTAAGAGGTAAAGGGGTAAGGGGGTTGGGGTCCGCGGGAGGCTCAGAAATAATAAGTTCGGGTTCCCCTGGGTGAGGCTCCAACACTCAATCAGCGTTCATCGGGATCGCGGTCCTCAAAATCTTGGTGTGTGTCACTCTGAGAGCCACGCTTCTGGAACGAGAAGGCCGCTTTGGGGATGCTTACGAGGCTCAGCTCCTCTTCTACAGGTTGAAGTGGCAGGTCGGGAGCATGCTCCTGGGTGAGCACAGCGAGTTCGCACTGCAGGCTAAGCGCATGATGGCGAGTTCGCTGGGCGACCTCGGCCGGCATGCCGAAGCTTTGGTTGCACAGAAAGAGGTGCTGGCTGCCCAGCAGCAGGCGCTGGGGCCAACTCACCCCAGTACCCTCAGAACTCAGGGCGATCTGGCGAGTTCGCTGAGCGACCTG